TCTTGTTCCACTGGGAAGTCTTCAGGGGCAATAACATGCATAGAGCTGTCATCTATGATAATAGATGATATGTTACGATAACATAACAGGCAGGTCCTTCCGGAATACTTCCAGAAGGACCTGCCTGAGGCTGTTTTACTGCTAATTTTTTTATAAGTAGGAGTACATTCTAATATAATGATAAAAAGCATAGTAAATGCATAAACCAGTAACATAGTCATTTATTATTGTTATCAAGTATTATGTACTGTGCATAGTTATATGTGCTGTACCTTTATACAACTGGCAGCTCAGTAGGTTTTTTTATACCAGCATCACCACAAACACATGCATTGCAATATGACATAACAGCTAGGCAATTAGAATTTTTCAGCTGCATTATAATCTTATGGGACCACCTTCGTACTTGTGGTCCATCTTTGATTGAGACATCGTTATGCAGCACATGACGGTACACTGCCTGTATTTTTGGGCCTACTGTAAACAATGCTGGTATAAACAACCTGGTACATATATACAAGAAATCTCTATGATACAATTCTAGGAGTGGTATTCTTGGGTATTTGTATCTTCAATCTTTCTAAGGTAGATAATGGCAAAATATTTTCCAAAGCAATTGTACCTATTTGTGTTTGTGAAATAATGTTTTATGAAATCAAAGGGAAGTAGTTATTTTATTTTCTCTACCTCTAGTTGAATTCCTGCTTCTTAATAAAGATAAGATATATTTCATGAATGATGCTTTATTTTTATAGGACTTTGCTGCTATTTGAACACAGTGATATTGTTGTCATCTCACTACTCAGTGTTTTGTTCACCAGTTCTGGAGGAGGACCAGCAAAGGTAGAATTTTCCATTATCAGTTACTTGGAAGTATAAGTGTGAAATATTATTCAAAGCAACAAAATTTTATCTTTACCATTTATAACAATGCAGGAGGCCAGGCATGGTGGCTCATGTCCATAATCCTAGCACTTTGGGCAGGAGGCGCACTTGAGACCAGGAGTTTGAGACCAGACTGGACAACATAGCAAGACCCAATCTCTAAAAAAAAATTTAAAAATTAGGTGTGGTTGCATGTACTTGTAGTCCTAGCTACTTGGGAGGCTGAAGCAGCAGGAGCACTTATACTTGAGCCCAGGAGTTCGAGGTTACAGGGAACTGTGATTGGGCTTTTGCACTCCAGGCTGGGCAGTGACAGAGCAAAACTCTCTCTCTCTTAAAAAAA